GCTCGGCCTCCAGCAGGCGGCGAGGGCAGCCCTGCGCCAGCCCGACCCCACGCCAGTTGGGTCACTTCAGCCCCGCAACAGGTCCTGGGTGACCCGAGGAGGCGACACACACAAGGGGGCAATCGACACCACTGTGGGAATGACCCAGACCCCGAAAACGCGGGAAGGAAAGAGAAACGTATACTTTACTTTTTGGCCATTGAAATATTCACCTCCGAAAAGGATCAGTTCGTCTTTCTCAGGGTGTGCGGAGAGGGAGGCGTTTAACCTACGAGAGAACGGTCACAGTCAACCCGGGAGCGGCCCCACCCCAGGGCCGGCCTCTTCCCGAGTGTGTGAGCAGGAGCCTGACGCGGAGAGAGGAAGGGACAGGCCGGCCTGGCCGCTGACCACGTGGCCCGACACCTCACAGGGCACCCAGGCGAAGACAGTCTCGGACTCCTGCTCACCAGCCAGGTTTTCTGCAACCGAGCTCCTCAAAGCACATGCCCACTTCCGTCACCATGGAAGCTGGCCAGGCGTCCCGTGCCAGCGCTTCAATCCGAGGCCCCCGCCTAGCAAAGTCACAGACACCGTCTCTCCACACACAAGGACCAACGACCAGCCACAGGGAAGCAGAGGCACCCGAGCCCGTCAGTGGAGGTGAGGGAAGACGGCGGCCGCGAGGGCCTGGCCAGGAACCCACGGCACATACTGCAGGACGGGACGGGCACTGCACGCGGCTCACAGGCCCCAAGGCAGACACCCGGTGGCACTGCAGGCCAAGGGGCAAGCACCCCGGCACTCCACAGCCGAGGAAGGACCGCGGTGCCAGCAGCACTGCGACACAGGCGAACTCAGAAACATGCCGAGTGACAGCAGCCAGTCACGAAAAGACAGATGCGCCCAACTCCGCAAACAGGAAATGCCAAGAACAGGCAAAGCCACAGCGACAGAAAGCAGGCTAGAGGCCACCCTGCCCCGGGGATGCAGGGTGACCGCCTGGGTGCGCGGTGCCTAGCTGGGGACACGCAGGGCGCCATGAAGACACCGGCTACAAGGGCCAAGGTGATGGCGCGCTCCTGCAGCGAGCCTGGGTGGACAGCGCTCCGCCTTTGTCCTCCGCCCTTTCTCCTCTCCCTCGGCACCGACTGGTTTCTGTGAAAAAGTGCCGGACAGCCACACCCACACCAGCCCCGGCCCCAGTGCAGCTGGCTGTCAAGGGGCACCCGGAGTAGGCAGCAGGTGGCGTCATGGCATCTCCTCCACCCTTGTATTTGTGCCAAAACTCAGGGGCATATACCCCAAAGCTGAGGATTCTCATGGGTCTTTCTTTTTAAAAGATGTTGAGCATCCCAAATTGAGAAATCTGAAATTCAAAATGTTCCAAAATCCACGGGACCAGCAGATGGCGTAATGGTTACACCACTGGACTCCCCCACGTGGCCGACTGCAGTTCAATTCCTGAACCCGGGGCTTAAAACTCACACTGGGTGCATGTGTGTGTGTACCCAAAATCCCAAGAGGAGAATGACGGGATTATGGCATGGCCATCTCCCCTGGGGGTGATATCTCACTTTCTCTCTGTCTGTCTGGCAAGCGCATGAGCCCGATAGCAAAAATCTGTCTTAAAAAAAACGTTGAAGGGGCCAGCAGGTGGTGTGGTGGTTAGGGCGCTGGGCCTCTACATGGCTGACCGCGGTCTGGCTCCCGGACCTGGCAGCTTGCTTTCTCACTTTCCCCTTCTCTCACTTTGTCTATCTCTTTGGTCAATTTAGAAAATAAGTAACAATAACAAATGAATTTAAACACAGAAATGTAAAACAAAACAAAATAAAGTTCCAGAATCCAAACCCTCTCAGAGCAGCACGGCCTCTGAGTGGAAGCTGCATTCTGGAGGTCGTGGTGCATGGCAGTGCCGACACCGCAGGGCACAGACGCTGTGCGAGACCCTGACCCTGTGGGCTCTGTGACGAGGCGTCCCGAGACAAGTGAAACTGGGGCAAAGGCGTGGGTCCCATCCCCAGGGCGACTCGTCAGTGCCAAATACTCCAAAATGTGAAAAACCCCAAAATGAAAACACTTCTGGCCCCAAGCACCTTGAACAGGGATCCTCAGCCCACGTGACTGGGCGGCAGGGGGTGGAAGTCACTGAGGATGAAGAAGCCTGGGCCTCTCACCCTCGGTTCCAGCCCTGCTGGCTTCTGCCTGGAAGCACCCCCAGCTGACCTGGGAACCGCCGACCTTGGCTGTCACAGGGTAAACTGCACCCTGATGCTACCCTGACTCCTGGACTGGCCCCTCAGGGGAGCTCTGAGACATCACAGTGCCCAACTGCGGTGCATTCGGGTGGCCTCAACGGGGTGCAGCCCACGTGAGCCTTGACTCCCGTGGGTCATGAGAAGACGCACACCAGCCACGTGTGCCCTCTGTATGGCCCGAGGGTGACACGCCACGGAAGAGGAAAATGAAGCCCAGCCCCCACAGAACTCAGGGAAAGAAGAGGAAGGACTTCCGACGGCTCACTGCCCTGGTTGGGCACGGGCTCCTCCCCACCCAGGAGTGGTGCCGGCCCCTGGGGGCTCCCAGGCAACGGGCCACGCCACGTCTCACAGCTGAGGGCAAAGGGTGGGAGCCTGAAAGCAGCTCCTTCCAAGGGAGAGGGCGCAGACGAGCTCCCGCCTGAAAGCGGGCACAGAGCCTGCGAGGCTCCCCCGGCTGCCCCCTGTCCGAGCGGCCCGGAATCTTTTCCCTAGGTTGCTTGGCCTAGTTGACCTAGCAAGTTCCTCACCCCGACTCACCACGCCCTGCTCCGGGGAACTGCTAGGCCCAGAATCAGGTGGCAGGACAGAGCTCGGGAGCCGGGAGGAGTGTCTGAAACCCGCCAGTCCCGCCTTCGCCGCCCTCCCGAGTGCACACGGCCAAGGCTGTGCAGCCCGACATGCCGGAGTGCACGCCAAACACGCCTGGAGGAGCGGGGACTAGCGGGGACGTCACCCACATCGCTGGCACCCCCGTCACACAGGCACCACGGGGCCTGACTGGCTCCTCAGGGAGAAGGGCCACCCCAGGTGCGAGCGGGGACCTGGGACGTCCCAAGTGCGGTCACTGATGAGCGCGGTCTGCCCAAAGCACTGCTGATTCACGGGAAGGAGACGGTCGGAAACCAAGGCAGACGCCCGGCGGGCTTACCGTGGCGATGGCGGGGGGCACGGGGTCTCCACGATCTGAGTCTTCTGGGCGTCGAGGGTCTGGAAATGGGCTATCAGGGCTTCCAGGTCTTCCTGGAGGGAGAGGCAGTGACCCTGAGACTCCCTCGGCCTCCTGCTCAGTGCCAAGCCTGGTGCCCAGCCTCGCCACCTGGCCTTGGTGCCCGTGTCCCCTCATTACAAGGAGCCACCTGCCACACCGACGCATGGCCTGTCACCGGAAACCCCGGATCTCAACTGAGATCCCGCCTCCCTCTCTCACTCCCTTGCCCCACATTCTGCAAGGCCTGAAGGCAGCTGGCCCTCTGACACCTCCAGGCCACCTCCCCTCCGTCTCCACCTCCTGTCCACCCGACCCCCGACCCCAGGGCTGAGCAGCTCTGCACACCCCCACCCATGCTTCCTCCTGCTCTGTCCCCAGCCAGAGCAGGCAAGCGTCCCCCTGCGCGGCATGCGCGGCTCGCGGGAGTCACCCGTCTCAGCCGTCTCAGCTGCATGGCGCTCGGCTGCCTGTCCTGCAGGGCATAGAGCAGGATTTCCCGGCCGCTGGCCTGCCTGTCCTGCAGGGCATAGAGCAGGATTTCCCGCTCCGCCCCAGGCAGGCCGCTGCACCAAAGCTCTGGCCCACATTGGGACCACCCGCCCAGCTCCATCCCCATGCTCCCAGAGGTAGCAGGGCCACTGCAGTGGGGGAGCTTTCCGAGGGAAACCTCCAGAGCTGGAACCGCTGGGCCGCAGCCTGTGCTTTCCTAGTCACTGA